CTATTTGCTGCCCTAAGGAGCTCTGTCCTGTCAAAAGTTTTCTTTCCCATGAAAGTGTCCAAAGATTATTAAATCACCTTTGTTAAATTTTATAAGACAAAACTCACAATTCTTCTCTACAAGGCCCATCATTGCTTGGAAATCTCTTTTCTGATAATTTCCCAGTTTTTCTACATAGTTAAAAACTACCTGTACCCCAACACCGGACCCCCTGGTTAAGAGATGGTCCTCTTGACTAATGCACATAGAAACATAAAGGTTGGAAAAGACCTTTGAAATCAAGTCCAACCATTACCTGGTAACAAATAACTTCATAAATAATTGATACTCAGTTTTCTGCCCCAACCACAAAGCTGGGAAAAAACCAATTTTGAGGTAAACCTGAACTGAGTGAAATTTCCCTTCAGATTAATCATAAAAGCTGAACTTAAGAGTGGTGCAGTTATAATCATTTTATGTTTCTCTGTAATCCTTTTGACCCCTCTCTTTTAAAGAAACATTCAGTTTTCACCAGAAAAAAACCCCATATTTAGTGAAAATGTTTTTCTCAAAAGCATGAAAAGAAGGAAAGAAGTAAAGCAAAACATGAAAGCATTTGGACAATGTTGTCAGGGACAGGGTGGGATTGTTGGGGTGTCTGTGCAGGGCCAGGAATTGGACTGGAGGGTCCTTGAGGGTCCCTTCCAACTCAGGATGTTCCATGATTCTGTGATAAATGGCTCTGAATTCAGAGCCCTGTCTCCAAACAGTGAGATTTCAGGGATATATCATTTCATGGTGTGGTTTTTTTCCCCCCCCGCCCTGTCCTACAGGTAGCTGGAGGTGGATGTTGGTGGTCAAAGCACCCATGGCAAAAAAAAACCCAAAACAAACAACAAACCAGAAAAATTTATGAAATGGATAAACCTCAAAAGCCAGAAGAGCCAAATATTCCAACTTTCCTCCTTTTCATTGTTTCAGGGAACGGGGGGGGGGAAATGAAAGTGTATTCCCTCTGACAGGACCTGTGGTGAGCACTTTTACACCAGAGGTGTCTCTCAGCCTGACCCTTGGCAGGGCACGCCTGGAACGACCACTAAAATTAATTTTACCCCCATTTTCTCTCCCTTCCTTGAAACAATAAAAAAGGAGCAAATCGGGACTATTCGGCTGCTCTGGAATATTTGGCCACTCTGGAACACTTGGCTACTCTGGCTTTTGAGGGTAAACATTCCAAGAGGCCTTTTTTTGCTTCGACCACCAACATCCACCTGCAGGACGAGGCAGAAACCAGGCAGGGAAGGCTCTGAAGGTGGCACCAGGCGTATCCTGCCACGACACCCGTTAGATACCGAGGATGTCAGCGATGCTGCTGGAGCTGTTCACACCCTCTCACATCTGCTGACACCTCTGCACCGTCCCCTGAGCGCGTCACTGCTTTCAGCAAAGTGGCAATCCAAGTGTCGGCAGCACCTCAGGTGCCGTCGGCTCCCCGGAGCCAGAGCAGCAGGAATGTGCCTCGTGCTCGACAGATGTTTGGGTGTGGATGTGCAACCGGCTTTCTGAGGCTCCAGATCCGGGGATGAAGGTGTTCCTGCCCCTCAGCTTAAATGGGAACAACTGGCTCTGCCCCTGAGGGTTTGCAGGATTCATGGATCAGCTCTGGGATTGCAGCATCCACTAATTCACTGGTGGATTTGGTGCTGGGTTAATGGGTGGACTTGGTGATCTCAAAGGTCTTTTCCAGCCTGAATTATTCCATGGTTTAGTGGTGGGTTTGGTGGTGTTGGGTTTGATGGCTGGACTTGATGATCCTAAAGGTCTTATTCCAACTTAGGCCTCTGATTGGATACAATCAAGGGTGGGAGATTTGAATTTCAGCTTCAGAAGCTGAAAATCGTCACACCACAGGTTCTCTGAAGAAATGTAACGTGCAAAACCATCAGGGTTTTAATCAGGTGGGAGGAAGGGAAATATGGCATTTTAGACTAAAGCCCAACCAGGCTGGAGCAGAGCATCCCCTCACCTGCTTGTGCCCAGTGTTCCCGAAATGAGTGATGACAGCAGCGTCAGCAGGTGGGATAATAACAAATGACACCTCAGGCTGCAAGGGAACTCCAGTTCCCTGCGTGTCCCTGCCTGTCCTGGAGCAGAGCAGCTCAACATCTGCGTTTCACTGCTGTGCTCCAGCCCCCAAACCAGTCCACCAGCAGGATACCAGCTCTAACCTCCCAGCTCCCCACAGGAACCCTCCTGGAGTCTCACTGATGAACAGACATGGTGAGATGAACCAAAGTTGCTCCTGGGAGCTGGGCTTGGTTCGTGCTGGGCTCACACAGCTCTCAGACCCTCCAGTCTTCCAGCTTTATAAACAAACTGAGAGGTCAACTCCCCCCCCCTGAATGACATCACCCCCAAGTCATTGCACAGCTGTGGGTTTGAGTCTTCTGGGAAAGGAGAAGGTTGCCCCCAGCACCACAGACCTCGAGTCTTAAACCAAAACCACCAAAAAAAAACCAAGTAAAGGTTTGAAACCATAAGATTTCAAACAGCAAGATCAAAAAAAAAAAAAAAAAAGTTCTTTCTGTCTGTCTTCCAGAGAGAAGAGGTTGATCAGAAAAGACAAAAGGCCTTTGCAGGAGCTAAGATGCCTTTTCTCCTCTTTTCTCCCCCACTCTGGAGAAGGTCTGCTCTCTTGAGGTCAGAGACCATGGGATAAAGTCTCAGTTGGCCACATGGAATTCATTTCTATAGGAGCTCCAGAGAGGTGGATGTTTTAGGCTGGTACAAGAGCACAAGTGTTGTGACCTCAGGTCACCTGGACTCTTTGGGGAAGGATCTTCTTCAAAAAGGTGGCAAAAGAAACTTCCTCCTGGCCTCATAGAAGAAACCCCACACGATGCTGACTTTTGGGGGGAAACATTCAAGCCAGCTGGTTGGTGGGAAAAGTCATCAGCCCACTTCAAATATGACCTTGAGAACTCCCAAAATCACAGAGTTTAGTTACCATCACTGATCCTTGCTGGAACGAAAAGCATCTACAGAGACACTTGGGAGTTTCTCCTCTTTTGGAAGAAACAAAAAGTCCCAATTTTAAGTGTGGACATTATGAACGTGATGAGTTCCCCTTTTGATGGAAAGGGGGTATTTTATAATTTTAATTGTTTCATTTCAGTCCTCAAGCAGCTCTGTGGAGGAGGAAATCATTTGCTGCTCTTTGGTGAAAACATCAATCCCTGCAATCCTCCTGCTGTTAAGTAGGAAGAGCACGATGATGGAAGAGCAGGATTTAGGGATGCCCTTGCTGCTTTAATGCAGCTAATCAAGTTCCTCAGGATCCCAACCTCCAGCCCACTTCCTTCTCTTCCAGACCAACAGCCCCACTGGGAACAGGCTGCTGGAGCCAAATGATTTAAAAAGCAATTACGGATAATTATATATGTGAAATGTGATTAATAAGGCATTTTCTGCCACGAGCAGGCAAGTCTGGACAACGGGGTCGCCTTCCTTTTTATCCTGTGTCTCTTGGAGTAGTTTTAGGTGCAGTTTGTTGCAGATGAGACAAAACAACCACCTTCAAATATGGCCAAAAGGACAAATCTGACCCTGTGAGACCAGAGAGGGATAAGGCAGGAAACAGCCAGGGAAGAGCTGGGGATGAACCCAGTTACATCAAATAAAGAGGTTGTTGGTGACCAAAGAGGGTTGGACTTGATGGTAATAAAGGTCTTTTGTGATCGTAACAATTCCTGGGGTGTCCTGGGCAGGGCCAGGAGTCAGACTCGATGATCCTTGGGGGTCCCTTCCGACTCAGGATACTCTGTGATCCTAAGAAGGTGGACTGAGCTGTCAGGGAGGGCTGACAGAAACAGGGGAAAGGCCTTGGCTTTCAGGACAAGAACAAAGCAGCAAAGCCAAGGACCCACGGGAGCAGTGCAGAGGGCAGGAGCAGACAGGGACTGGCCACCTCCATCTCTGCAGGCTGGCAGGGCAGGAATCCCTGGGGGAAGTGCTTCGGGAGGAGCCGCTCTGTTTACAGTAGGTGCTGCTGAAAGGTGTCCCGAAGAAAGACAGCAATTAACAGGCCTGCAAAAAAAAAAATGGCTTCTTTCCACAAAGAGCCTTTTAAGTATGTTTTTCGAGCCACTTGAAGGGTTAATGTTTAGCTGTTTATCCGGAGTTGTCGGATGTCAGCTCTTTCTTTTGACTCCTAATGGCTTATAGCCATCAGGAGGTGAGGACTCCTCAAAAGAGATGGTGTCAGGAATGTTTTTTTTATGCCCACCAGCACCCACACACCTGCAGGAGCCTGTGCTTGCAGCAGAGATAGTTTACATACTTGAACCTGTATCCCAGGGACAGGGATATAAACATGAAACCAGATCCCGTCTGACACCGCTGCCGAAGCCCCTGGGCAGTACAAAGGGGTCCTTTCTCCCACACCCAGCCCGGATGACCACAAAGAGCAGTTTGGTTCAAGCTGTGCTTCCCAGCAAGAACAAGCCCTGCTGGTCCAGGTTAAGATTTTAAGGCCAGATCCCGGAAAATTTTCAGCCCCTGTGACAGGGGTGGCTGCTGGTCCTGAAACAAAGGCCCACTCTAGGGAGCAGGTTCAAAAACCAGCCTGGTCACAAATCAAAGCCTCTCAGACAGGGAAGGTGAGAACAAAGGCAGAGGCTCCAAATCAATCAGAGCTCTGCTCGCTGTGACCTTCCCCAGACCAGACATGTCACTGAGCCCAACAATTACACCGGGAGGTGCCAACGGGCTGAGCAGCTGTAAATTTAACCACCCCGGGTCTCCCAGGGGCTTGTAAGGAGTGGTGGTGGAGCCCCTGAAGGCCAGATCCATCCTCTTCCTCTTGGGAATGCCCCATCCCTGGCAGTGTTCAAGTGGAAGGTGTCCCTGTCCACGGCAGGGGGTTGGAACGAGATGGTCTTTAAGGTCCCTTCCAACCCAAACCATTTTGGGATCCTAAGAAAGACAGACACTTGCTCCCAGAAGAGACTGAGATCTCCCAACTCCAGCCCACTGGGGAGTGAGCAGGCACAGGAAAGGCCTTGATTTTGAGAAAGAAGGGTGAGGAAAAAACCACATGGAAAGGGGAGATGTCATGATCCAGAAACGTTCTTTGCTTTGCAAAACTGGTTCCTTCTCTCCGGGTCAAGAGGAGTTTCAGTTGTGCCAGGACATGAATGAAAAGGGAAATGCAACGAAAACCAGACTAATGAGTTTGGGAAATGGCAGGTGACCCTAGGACAAGGCAGAAGCAGCTTCTGGGAGATCACCACCCAGGGGTTTGCATCTGGTTTGCTCCAGGTGGAGCAGGCAGAAGGGAGTTGCCACAGCATCTTCCCTACCCTCCTGCTACAGTCCCACAAAAGGAACCCAAAAGAGCATCACATGGTAGCACTGAGGATTTATTTTTGAGACAAACATGAGAATTTGAGGGCTCTCCTGACTTGGGTGGAACAAGAATGTCACAGTGATGTAGAGCCCGGAACTTTTGGATTGTTTGGTCCATCAAAGTTCTCTGCAGAGACACCAAACACTGACCTGGAGCCCTCCCTGAAGCAGGAGGGGGCTGTTGGTTCAGCAACTCAGGCTGAAGCACCACTGGAAGTGGAGGAGAGGACTGCTAAGCCTCACATTCCCTCCTCCTGGGTTCAGGAATGCCTTCACCTGAGGAATGCCCTGAACTGCCTGCAGAAGGAGGTCTGGAGCACACGAACCTGCCTCTGTCCTTGCCTTGAACATGCCTGAGCTCCCCAAAAAGCTCTGCTGCCCTGTGGACATGGAAGTTTTGTAGCGTGCAGGGTGGGCTGAACTTGCAGGCTCTAAAGCAAAAACAGCTCCAGGCTTCTTTCTGTCGGTGTCACGCTGGAGATGATGCCAGAGGGAGGGAAATTCCAGGTGGGAGCAGGAACTGGGGAAAATCACAGGCCAAGATATCATAAAATCACAGGATCATAAAATGGGATCCCAGAATGGTTTGGGTTGGCAGGGACCTTAAAGACCATCTCATTCCAACCCCCTGCCACAGGCAGGGACATCTCCCACTGGATAGATTGTTCCTGGTAGAAAAACCTCTGCAGGAGACCTGTGATAGGTTGAGAACAGCCCATGGACATCTACAGGAATAACACCAACAGTTCCTGTGATAATCAACAAGAGCTCATTGCCATCCTCTGGAAAGACCCTCCCAGCTCCTGGCACAAACCTAAGCACCACCACAAACCCAACCAAACCATCCCAACCCAACCCTGAACACTTCCAGCAACACCCAGACCCCCTGTGTGTGCCAGCGGGATTCTGGGCAGCAGCTTTCCTGAGCAGTACAATTAGAGGGAAACTCCAAGTTGCTGTGGGAATTGAGGGAATGTGCAGCACAGGAAATGAGCTGCTGTGATATTTATATTTTTTTTTTTTCCTGGTTGCTTTGACAGGAAAGGTGTTCTGCAGATGCAAGGCTGACAGAAGGGCAAGGGGGGTGAGCAGCAGGAGGTGTAAAGGGAAAGCCAAAGGGCAGGGCCAAGGGGGAAGTGCTGTGTGAAGTCTGGCTCCTTGGGAAAACACACAGCAGGTCTAGGAGCCCTGCCCTGACAGCTGGTGCAGGTGAAGGAAAGCCTGAAAGGGGGGGGTTAGCCAGGAGCACGTCGTCTTCTGCTTGGTGCTCTCAAGGGGTGGTGAGAGCAGGAGAGGAAGGAAGGAAGCAAATGGGAAACTAACTCTGGAAACCTTCCCAAGAAATTGGCTGTTTAGCCCAGAGGGGGGTCCAAGTTCACTGCTCACCCCTCTGGGAGCAGCCTCAGCCCAACCTTCCCTGTCCAGCAGTCAGTGCAGGAGCACCTCCCTGGGACCTACAGGTGGCTGAGGTGCCATCTCTTCAAGGAATCATGGAATTGTTTAGGTTGGAAAAGTCCTCCAAGATCATAGAGTCAAACCATCCCCCAGCACTGCCAATGCCACACTAACCCACGTCCCCAAGTGCCACATCCACAGGGCTTTTAAATCCCTCCAGGGATGGGGATTCCACCACTGCCCTGGGCAGCTGGGCCAGGGCTGGACAACCCTTTCCAGGAAGGAATTTTCCCCAATATCCAACCTAAACCTCCCCTGGCACAGCTTGAGGCTGTTTCTTTTGGTCCTGAATGAGCTCCTGAGACAGAACTGAGTACTGAGGACTGGTCCCACGGTGCTTTGAGCTGCTCTGGTGACCTGAGGAAGCTTCACGGCCAAGGCTGTGATTTGATTTGGAGCAGGGAAGGATTTATCACAGAAAGAGCTCGTGAGCATTAAAGAAGCTCCCACAGACGACTTCTCCTTTTTTAAGTCCGTGTGGAAAGCAAAGATACTCCTTCCCATGTCAACAGTTGCTGTGCCAGCAGAGAAGCTGGATCAGTGCACAGGAGAGGAACCTCGGATGAACCTCCCGATGCTTCCCGAGTCGACGGCGGAGCGTCGCCTGTGTGTCAGTGGGAAACCAAACCCTCCAGGCACAGCTTGAGTTCTTCTGCTGCCTTTGGGAGGCACATCCCACCGAGCTTCCAACCTCCTGCCAGGACCTCGTGCCGCTCCTTCCCCACGAGGAGCTCCTTCCAAGACCAACCTCCATCCCCAGGGTAAGACGTTGGCCAGCGCTCCCGGGTTACCAGACTCTCGGGAAACCGTTCCCCAGACCCAGAAGCAAAGCAACACCACAGAACTTCTCACTTCTCAAACATTTTTCCCCCATGGCAGCTGGCAAATCCTTCCCTCCGCTTCTCATCCAACTTGGACAAAATTACCGCAGAGAATCCCTCCTGCTCCCTTCCCCCCCCCCCCGCCTCTCCCTGCTCCTGCAATGCAATCCCAAGGGAGAAGTGGTTTCGTGGGGACCCCCTGCTGTCTTGCATCTGATTTCCCTCCTAAGTATGGTATGGGGAAGCGTCTCGAGGGCTACGGCTGTGACCTCCATACAGCTCTTTTGTCAAGTGCCATTTCATTAAAAAATCAGCCTTTTAACTGTGGACACATTTCAACCTCACCAAATCTGCTAATTATTGACAGTTGGTGAAGAGGAGATTTCACTTGTTCCTCCTGTTAAACTGCATCTAATTAGTAATTACTGGTTCACTGTCATCTTTACTGCAATAATCCCACTGCACATTGGCTCATTAACCTTTTGCTTTTCTAAAGCAGCCTGCCAACAAGATGAAGGCTAAAACAGATTGGAAAACAATAGCTCAGCCTTGGATTTTAGGCTGTTTATTCCCCTTGTCCTGGAGATCTAAAAGGAAGATTATTTTTCAAGGAAGGGTTTCCAGGCGAGATCAGATTCCTGAAGATGGTTTGGTTTGCCCTGACCAGCATCCAACACCCTCTGAACTTCACCCACGGCGGGGGCACCAGGATTACAGGTACTGGAAGGGTTTCTGTGCCACCAGCTCTTGCTCCAGCTCCACTTCTCACCTGGCTTTATCCTCCTTTTTAGCACAGTCCCACCGCACACGGGGCAAGGGTGAGTTGGCAGCAGCGGGAATTCCCAGCAGCACCCTCCTCGTGGATGCTGCAAATCCCAATGAATGGTCGGGGACGAGCAGGGGGACCAAGAGGGTGGGAGGATCAGCGGAGCAACCCCCGTGGATCTTTCTTCTGCTGCTACACTGAATTTCATTTGCACAAGTCCCATTTTCAGTTTGGAACTGTCACAGCTGTTTCCATTGGCAGTGCATAGCTGAGTAGGAGTTGTCAGTGGGGATGCTGCAGGATAAGGCGGTTGGAGGAGAGATTCCCCCGGGGGGCATGGGAGGCAGTTGGAGGTTGTGGGCTAAATGCATTAACTACATGTTTCTCCTAAACTTAACAGCAGTGAATTACTCAGTGCATATTGATGCATTTAGGTACAGGAGTTAACACTATATTGGGATGAAGGGAGTGTTTTCTCGGCGTGTTCCCGAAGATCCACGTCTTCATGGGTTTATTTTTATGAGGTGATCTTCAAGCCCATAACAACATCCAGAAACAGGCTGCAATTCTGGAGCACCCTTGCAGAAACCAAAGTGGAATTTCATCTGCACAAAACCAAGGTCTTACCTACACTGATTATCGACCCAGGAGAAGATCTGGATGCATTAACCTTCCCAGCACATGAAGGTTGTTCACCTCCAGAATTTTCATTTGCCTGATGTTGGTGTCTCTGTTTGCAACCAGAGCCGAACTCTGATTTCTCTGAGGTCATTTCAACACAGGAATAACTGCAGAGCAGCTACACCTGATGTGATAAGGTGGCTGCACTTATCATTTATCTGGCAAAATTATTAAATCTGTTAAAAGCTTTCAATTCTGCTTGAAAAGGAATTGCAAGTTTGAGCCCCTTTAGAAGAGTGGATCAAACACAGCCAATCTAAACCAAGCCCTTGAGAACAAATCAGCTTCTGGTTTTGCTCCTTGACTCAAGAAAAAGGACAGTGAATGTGTGATTCCTCATCTGACAAGCTGGAATCATTAGGGTTGGAAAGGACCTCTGACATTGAGTCCAGCTGTCTGAAGCTCGTGGAGCAGGAGGAGCACCCAGGATGTCACAAGGTCTGAGAGGTGCTCCCTTCAAGGGGACTCGGGTTTCCCATCCCAGACTGCCAAGAAATGGATCTGGAGAGGCTGTTCCACCTGCTCTGCTCACTTGAGCATCCCCAGAAACCCCTAAAGAGGTTTTAGAGAATGGGAAGAACCCGCTTTAAACACACATTTATAACAAGTGGAAACATGATGGGAATACAGGCTGGGAGACCTGGGGGGGTTCCCCTGGAGAAGAGAAGGCTCCAGGGAGAGCTGAGAGCCCCTGGCAGGGCCTAAAGGGGCTCCAGGAGAGCTGGAGAGGGACTGGGGACAAGGCATGGAGGGACAGCACACAGGGAATGGCTTCCCACTGCCAGAGGGCAGGGATAGATGGGATATTGGGAAGGAGTTGTTCGCTGGGAGGGTGGGGAGGCCCTGGCCCAGGTTGGGCAGAGAAGCTGTGGCTGCCCCTGGATCCCTGGAAGTGTCCAAGGTCAGGTTGGAGCAACCTGGGCTGGTGGAAGGTGTCCCTGCCCATGGCAGGGGGGTTGGAATGAGATGGTCTTTAAAAACCCTCCCAGATCAAAGTGATTCCATGACTCCAACACAGATCAGCCCAGGCTGCCTATGGAGAACCCGATTCGACAGATGTGAGGTCCAGCTGTGCCCATGGAGCTCACTCCAAAGGAGCAGAGCTGAGATCCCAGCAGATAATGAGCTAAAGCACCAGCTGTAATGGTTTCTCTTCATTGACATGGAGCGTGGGCAGAGAGCACGTCACTGTGTTCGATCTCCTAATCAGCGCTGATTCATGTTTACACTGCAGATAACATTTCATCTGCTCTCAGAAGGTCATTTTCAAGTGATGCTGAACGGTTTCAGTGTTGCCTGATGCCTGCAATTTGAATATCCTCTCAGGCAAGCCAGACCTTCATTTTCCTTGTGGGCTTGAATTCATTCAGCTCTTAAAATCAACACAGTTTTCCCTGCTGTGATATCAGACACCACACATGATGAATTATCCGTCACCCACCAAGCTAAAATTCTAGTGGAAGGTGCCCATGGCATGGAATTGGGTGGTCTTTAATGTCCTTTCCAACCCAAACCAGTCTGTGATTCTGTGATTTTGAGGGAATGGTGTCACCTTCAGGGTAAATGAGGTTGGTGTTGCCCCCTGTGGTCTGGCTTCCCTGATTATCTTGAAAGGAGACCTCCCAGGGAAAGCCATGAAGGAAATTGCACCAGGGAGGGTTTAGATTGGATATTAGGAAGGAATTCTTCACTGAAAGGGTTGTCCAGCCCTGGCACAGGAGTCCCCTTCCCTGGGGGGATTTAAAATCCCTGTGGATGTGGCACTTGAGGACACGGGTCAATGGTGGCCTTGGCACTGCCAGGGGAATGGTTGGACTTGGTGATCTCAGAGGTCTTTTCCAACCTTAAAAACTCGGTGGTTGCTTGATTCCATGAAAAGGCAGCATAAGGGATGTTCTATCCCCCAAATCTCCTTCCAACAGGAACTTTGGACGCGCTCCAGGCACGTACCTTGAACAGGTGCAAGACCTGGCAAACCTCCCCAGGCTTTCATAACCAAAACCCTCCGAGCAGAACTTGGGATCAGAGCAAAAAGCTGATGGCCAGGGAGCTAAGGTTGAGCTCCTGCCAAAATGACTAACCAACTGTGGATGTATGAATCCGAGGAGAAGCAGGGAAATCACATTGCTCCTGCAACTGGTACTTGTGCAACTTCTGACTGGAATACTGTGTCTGGTTCTCGTGGAAGTGCTCCAAAAAGGATGTTGACTAATTAGAAAAAGTTTAAGGAAGAGCCATATGAATCATTAAAGCTTCAGAAAACACGTCTTTTAGCAAGAGGCTCCAAGATTGAGATGTATTCAGTTACTTAGAAGATGAAGGGACAGGTTTATCTCAGCCTGTAGAAGGATAACAGAGAATCTGTAACGTGTTTTTCAGTCAGCAGACAAGTGTACAA